GCCCCTAAAAATTGCCCCCTAAAAATCTGAATTCTCTTATTAGCTGATTATTTGAAATTTTCAGCACTACAAGTGAAAGCTTTTTCTATTCTTCACGATTTCATCCTTAGTGCTTTTGTCCTCTCAAAGTTACAGCTTCTTACTAGTTCTGTTACGAAAACATCTTGCATTTAACTTTGCACTAAATGCGCCGTAATAAATAGGCAAAAAGTCAATTTGGCCCCTAAAAAATCTTCAATGGCGCCTAAAAATCGGGCTTAATGCGTCACATGGCTCCTAAAACTCAAAGGTGAGTTTCGAACAGTGGAAAAATCAAAATAACCCAAATCAACGACCTTTATCAGGCCCAAAATGAAGTAAACCTCTTGCAATTTATTTTAAATTTTCCAGTGAAAACTCAAAACCGAATTTACCAAACAACTCGATGAAAATCAATTTTCTGGAAAATTTGACCCTACAGTGTAAAGTCCTTTTTGACTCTTTCTCTCTTGCGAAAGCAGTATCACTCAGAAGAATATTTTGAAGTTGAGTAACAGTGATACGTTGTTGTTCTTTCGCTTGGTAATGAAAGTTGTCTAATAAGTGTCAGGAAGTCATTGCTGCATTCCTTAGCCTTCATTTCTTTCGACCCATGTCAATTCTCAACAAATATAAATGAAAAGACAGAAAATCGAGTGGGAAAATCTTTGCACGATAGGACGAGGAAAACTTCGTAAAAGAAAATACTCGAAGGTTGAACAAAAAGTTTTGGAAGTCAGATATCCACGACTGAGGAATCTTATCAAAGTCCATTCATCTTTAATTTTATCATCCATACTTTCCCATGTCTTTGTGATGCCAAGTGTCGGGAATCTTATCTTAAAAGGTTAAGCTGAAGTCCATCGGATTGCGTATAAACACGTAAGAACATGTGACTCAACGATTTCAAATTTTCATCCAAGACTCTAAATTACAATTCATTAATTCTTACAACTTTTTACAATTATTGACCCTCGGTTTTTCACTTTCGGCGTTGAAAATAATATTAATATTCCGTGAATGTATATATTTTTGACATATATTTGATTGTTCTTTTCTCGACTTCGAATTTTTAACAAGAAAAATGGTTCGGCAATCTGAGCTCAAAACTACCTCTGACTAATTAAACTTATATAAGTTCCTACGTGATTGCTTATTTGAGTCCATGAATGACCTCATCAAAAGGAATCATCACTCCCATTAATTCATTTCAGACGTTAGTAATTCCTCATTCAATGGAGCTTTCTGGTTCTATATAATTTTGCAAAAGAGCATCCTAAATGTACCACGTTGAGCAGAAAGGAATCAAGCCACATCAGCTATTGCCAAATTTAACAGGGCAGTTTAATTGTTTACAAGAGAACACTTGTGCGGACTCCTTTGAAAATTTTAGGGAATTTGCTTCGCACTATGCAGAAAATTCCATGAAATGTGCGTAAAAATTTGCACAGCCATTTTCATGTGAGAAATTAACTTGATTCGGCGATTAATTTTTGTAATAGCTGATGCGACTTGGTTCCATTCTGCTTAACGCGGTCCAAATATGACCCTCATTAATCTTCGAGTAATTATTACACCAAGCAGAACACGCACCCACAAAGGAGGAACTTATCTACACAACGCAGACTTTATTTTGCCGGGCACTTTCTTTCTTCCGAGGTCAGTGACCTCAAAACATGATGGAATTAAAAATGAATAAACTCGGGGAGGCGCGGTTGTGGAATCCGAAGATAAATGAGGCAAGTTGGCTCGAGTCGCTGCTCTGAACAAAGGATTTTGCCGGAAAAAGGGCAAAACGTGTAAGAGGTCAATGTGTGGAAGTTTTGGCGGAGGGGCCTCGGAAGGCGGGCCAGTGCGCGATGTCGTTCAGCGGCGGAGCCGACGAAACTTACTTACCAAAGTTTCATTCTTAAATCCAGGCGTGGATTCGCTCGAGTGTTATGGGAAACGAATTTCTCGATTCCTCATCCATCTGAAGCTGAGGAGTAGGCGCTAAGTTGATTTTGATCCTGAAACAAAGAGAGAGAGGCTCACCTTTTTAAAATCATCGGGTCGTTGCATTAATGGAGATGTTGCATATGTGAGGAATTTGCGATTCGACTGTTAATTCTTATGTAAAAGTTCGCGAGAAACACGATGAAGCACTGGTTTTCTCTGAAATCATCTCCCAAGCTCAAAAAAAGCTCTCAAAGTGAGGCCAAAATGGAGGGGATATCCCACCCTATCCTAAGAGTCCACCTCTACATCAAGACAAACTATCCATGCAAAGATAGGGAGCAAATACATAAGCAGGTTTGCCGTGTTTTCAGTTGTGGAGTCCCCAAATAAAGTGGCAGCCCTGTCAATGTATTTGCTCCCTATCTTCGCATGGAGAGTTTGTTTTGATGTAGAGGTGGACTCTCAGGATAGGGTGGGATATCCCCTCCATTTTGGCCTCGCTTTGAAAGCTTTTTTTGAGCTTGGGAGTTGATTTCAGAGAAAACCAGTGGCATTATCGTGTTTCTAGCGAACTTGTACATAAGAATGAATGGTCAAATCGCAAATCCCTCACACATGCAACATCTCCATTTTCCGCAATCTTACATAAATGTTTCGAATAGATTAGTTTCTCCGGAGATGAGCTCAAAGGGGTGGCAAATAAGTTTTGTTTGCTAGACGCATTTAAACCAAGAGAAACTATATCCATTGTGTCATGATCCCTATCATGCATGTATTTTTATGGATCCTAAGGCTCATATCAGAATGGATATAGTGCCTTTTGATTCAATGGAGAATTTGCGCGCAAATTTTTTATTGCTTCATCTGAAAGTGCTTTAAGAGCTGATTTCACAACTGCTCAGTATTCTTTATAATTTTTTTCTGATATGGGAAATGGTATAAAAATATATTTAAAAGTGAGAAAATGCACCGCATTGAGACGTCATCTGGAGGCATTTCCCATTTAAGCGCATGTATTTTAGTATGTTAGGTCATTTACTCATATCTTTTCCAATAATTAGTCAATTCATGAACCAAGGGTATCCTCGTGTTCAGTTCACTGAGTAGTTTCCACTTAAACACGAAATTCATCAAAGTTCAGACACCAGCAAATTCTCTAATGGGTCCATTTTTTCATCTACTTCATCCTTAGCTCCAAATGGATCACGGCGGTGCTTCGTGCAACTATTGCAGCACAAAGGTGTTGCACAGTATCAAATGAAAATGAAGGCGCACAGGCTGATGTGGTTTTAACGGGCAGTTTTCAACAGTGCAAGTACCCGAGAGATTCTGAGAAAAATACCGTTCGTTTAAACTTATTCCCCCCACGCACATTCACAAAATAATCCTCTCTCCAAAAAATAAGTAGTAAGATGTGATTTAACGATGAATTATATCGTAGCTGTACATTTAGCGAGATAAATCAGTCTCGATCAATAGTATTATTTTTTTGGCGGATGTAATACAATTCAATGAAGTATGCCAGTTCTAAGAGTGGTCACATGTTGCTATAAATTTCAAATGTTGATATCGAGTGCTTGGTGGTATTTCCTCTCACACATCTATTTTTCGAACAACAACAGGACTCTACGCATTGGTGAACGTTGCCAGTAAATAAACACTATACATACTTTAGTGCCAGTGGCGTGGCGTGTTTTGCGATATATCGATTGATATACTATTAAAACCTATGGAAAAGGATCGATAAACAGGGTGCTCGTAGCGAACACCTTAATACTCGATTGTTTACCACAGCTTCAAATGGAGAAATATCGATAATCGACCATTCACGCCTCGCCACTGTTTAGTGCGCCTTCATTTTTATCTGATACTCTGCAATACTTCTGTGTTAAAATAGTTGCTCGGAGCTCCTTCAACAGTTGCGCCTCGACTTGATGGCACAAGATCACGCTTACCGCGCAAATTACACATTAGCACGGGTGCAACTACACATTTTTTCATCACCGACGGTGCAGTAAAAAACATGCATACATCAATTAATCGAAAAAGAAGCGGAGTTGTAAAAAGAAGAGCCCTCCGTCTCACAATAATAGAAACGCTAGGCGCATAAAGGGCACTTCTTGATTGCTGTGTTCCAACATCTCTTCTAGCGTAGAGTCCCTTTATATCCAGAGTTAAGACAACTCGATTATCAGCTGACTGACAGCCGGCCTTGGCTGGCCATGGAGGCACAAACGAGCGCACCCAAACGAACGATATTGAGGAATGAGGATAAGGAATCCTGCGATGTCTGTCATGCAAAAACAACAACATCAACAAAATTGATCAATTAAAAAGAAAATTAGATTAGTTTGTGAATAATTGCTTAATCTATTTTCATTTTGGACCGATGGAAATAACAATTTACACTTGATAAACCACAATTAGGTAATATTTTCATTATTTCTGTTCACATTCGAGTCACCGCCATCTTGGTGCACTCGTTTGCGACTCCATGAGCGAGAACCAATCAGAATTGAATTTTTTTTAGGCTACTTTCAGCCCAACCAAAAGTGAGTTGCCGTAACTCTGGGTATAAAGGGACTCTAGATACTGCTCGACTCATTTCATTACATCCCATGCGAAGGCTCAAACTTGACTTTATCTCGGTTCTCGGAGTCCTCGCATCACCTGTTTAGTGACCTTTACACGGGTTTATGGGGAAAGGCTCAGCGACGGAGGTAACGCTGGTAACAGAGTGAGAAAGCTGGCTATCAATGTAAAATTGCGACACCTGTATTCTACGACCCGTATCCTAAAATCCCCCTTCGCCTGCCCCCGCTACACCCCGTGCCAACGGGGATCCGTATTCATCCCCTCATGACCAGATTTCGTCTTTATCCCATTTCGCCCTGTTCTCCGCTCCACCCCCAAGCTATGACGTCAGAGGATAGGTATACCGTTGCCTACATTCATGAGCGCAGCGAGCAGCGCAGCGGTGGAAGAATGAGAGGGGAGGGGAATCTGTAACCCCGTTCACAGTTAAATTTCAGTCCGCGCGCGAACACGCTGCTGGCTGAAAGTCTGCCTCTCTGCCGTCAGCTCTCTCCAACTCCGGCGCGTGTTTTTTTCGTCCTCGCGAAATTTTCGGCTCATCAGAAAATTTAATAAAGCTTCAACTATTTCAACTTCTTCGATTCCATGCGTTAAGACTTTCGTTATCTACCGAAAATCTAGAGAATAAACTGTTGCAATTCCATGCTTTCTTATTATTTGACAATAAAATAGAGGCAATTTCATCATTAGGAACGGTCACGATTTGATCCCTTTTTCAAAATTTCACGATCGTTAAAATTGATCACATCAGAGGGGTGGAGAGTAATTGAACTATTGACGTGTATGCTGCTGGACTTGATGTTTCGTTCTTGCCGGGTTTGGACCTTTTAATGCTTGGGCCTTACTGATAGAAACTTTTAATCGGTGGCTTTTGTGCCGGATATAAATAAACTTTAAAAATTCAAAGGAATATTTTTAAAAGCCGGGACTGTGAAATGAAACTGAGATCTAACGTGAAAGTGGATCTTGGGATTTCAAATTTAAACTCACTCTGAAACACTTTGAGATTACTTCACGGTAAGTGTATTTTTCAAGCACCATTGTCATAAAATTAGTGAATTTATCTAGGAGTATGTCATAAGTAAAAAAGTTAACTCGAATCATGTGCAATGTATGAGGAACCACGAATTTAATAATAAAATGTGCGTTAAAAAAATAAGTAAAAATAAGGAGAAACAGTATCTCACACATGAGTATACTCACGTTGAACGCCTCTTTTTAAACAAATAACTTGAATGACTTGAATAACGTGAAAGTTACTTCCTAAAGTGTATGCTCAAACTGTGACTGAAACGCAACTGGCTTCAGGTAGTTTCAATATTTTGGTTTGCAGGGAATCAAATTTATTATTATTGATAATCAATTAAAATTAGTCTCAATGCAATTTTTTTCTAAAGAAGACACCTAAGATTCTTCCACATAAAGTACATCAAGATTTTTTCTCTTTTTTATAAAGTATCAGTCTCGTAAATTTGAACGATTTTGATTAGTCAAAAAGCTGTGTACATTTTCGACGAATCAGATGCCATACATTTTGTCACTTGGTGTTATTTCTATCTCTTTTTGCGAAGAAGTGATTGATAATGGGGAATAGTGGAAATTAGTTGAACCGTTGAACCGTAATCGTAGAGCAATGAAAGGGAAACAATGGACCACTAGACAAGGTACGAATTTCAGCATTCTGATACATGTTTCGTAATTGAAATTTTACATAGAACACGACGAGCACAAAGAAAATTACCGAAATTAACTCCTTACGAAGATATTTGATGATTCTTGATGAGTAAATTCAAACCACCCGCTCATGAAAACTCAATGGTCTACGTGATTCACATCGCGCGCTAAACGTTATCATGAACGTCTCTGCGATAAAAAAATCTGGCAACCTCAATCTTGTCGCTTTGGCTCAGCTATAGCAAATTGCTAATAGTTTGAATAACACATGGTGGGAAATGAACATTGCTCGATTGAGAAGCTTGCTGAAACCGTTGTAGTGCGCGATTTGACTCGCGTAGAGCTTTGAGTTTTTTGTGAGCGGGCAGTTCAAATTCCTCGTAACCAATGTGTAATAAAAACGTTAATATCTTCGTTAAAAGTTGGTTTCAATAATTTTCGTTGTAAGAATCATGTTTAACGTAAAATTCTGGTTAAGAAACATGTATCAGATTACTTAAATTCGTACCTTGTCTAGTGGTCCATTTGTGCGTAGCAGGATGTATTGGCAGATAGAGGTGGATCCAGCAATTTGGCAACACCGGATTTCCTCCATTTAAACCTGCTAAATAATCGATCCTTCTAGGAGCACCTGGCCCCTCCAAGAATCGATACATTTCCATAGGGTTAAATGGAGAGAAGACAATGTTGCCAATTTGCTGGATCCGCCAATGCTGGCAGAGACGGATAAAAATTCTGCAGAATTTCGCTGTTTTTACAAAAATGCATATTAATGCTCATCTACTCATTTAAATCGTTATGCGCTTCCTTCTAAAAAAAATAAAAAATAAATAGAAACTTAGGGTTCACATTATATTACTCTGTCCCTCTATTTACGAAAAGGCCTACCTCCATTTCTATCTGCGCCTTAAAAAGTGCGTCGATTTATGTGAGTGACAGGTGACGGGACTCAATCGAAAAATTTAGTTTCGTCTTTTTCCTTGTTTCCCTCGTGGAAGAGCGTACCAAATTTCAACGATGTCACATTTCCCCTCGGATATTGCAGTCTAACCAGGAGAATCTTCGGCATGTCTAACTGTAAATTTTACTGATGTTTCTCCTGATCTTGTGAGAAAATCTGAAAAATTTTGACAAAAATCGTACTGGTGCATTCTCGTAAAAAATTGAATCGTTTGAGTCGATTTTGCAACCTTGGAATTAAGTAACGATCCCTCGTCTAGGAGACGGCGCACAGTGGATCGAGTCAATGGGAAAGGTCGGACAAAATTTGGTGACTTTTAAAGCTTATAACTCCGTTCATACATAACTTTGAGGTCTTAAAAGTGGTTTTACTGGTTTTCTAGTGAAAATTTATTTCAGAAACACCCATTGAAATTCAAATTGTGACGAATTAAACATCAAAATTTGCGGTTTCAGTCAATAATTTCATGTCCGACCTCTCTCATTTCCTCGATCCACCGTGCGACGTTTCGTCAGCGGAGCGACCAGGGCACGATCGAAAAACTTTTCACTGTTGTATCTCCAATCTGCATATGCCGTCACTCTAGACCTGAGAAAAAGCCCGACACTTTTTTAACAAGTCGTTTCGTACAGCATAATCTATTTTACATATTTTCCGTCGCTTGTTATACCTTTAATTTCAGAAAATGCGGAAACTTCTCTTTTTGAGATATTCACATAGAGGTTTCTTTGAGGATCGTTTGAAGATGATTCTAATAGATGTACGGACTTATCGCACTGATGCGTCATCATAGTAGACCATTGAATTGAGGAGAATCAAAATTGAGTTTCAACCCATTTTTTTTCACAACTGATTTGCGGTAGACGCACAATAAGTCTTATAGACAGGAAGCTGGAGGTTTATCCAACGTGCATTAAAATGCAGAAAACTGAACATCTCAATAGGAAATAGCTCAATCTCAAGGGAAAAAGCTCATTCAAGAGCAACTTCCCCTCAAAGAGCTACGCTATACGCTGTGTGCATTTTTTATCAGACAAATTTCATATTTTTTTTCAGTATTTCAGTCGCAACTGGATGATGAGGATGAATGCCATAAACATATTAAAACTGATCAAATCCTTAACTATTACCGGAAAAATATGTATTAGCGAAAAGGGCAAATTGAAAACTAGGGGCACATAAGTGAAAAGTTCACCGATCTTTCTCGAAAAATTTTCGTTATCCTTGACCTCCTCCCCCCCCTCCGATCTACGAGGTCCTTAATTTAAAACAGGACGGAATTGCCATAGCACGCCACTGTATTTGTATGCTACGGCCTTCTTGTAAGCCGAATGAACAAGGCAAAAGCTAGACGACTTAGGATGATTTGGGGATTACTGTAATTGGGGCTGGATGTAGCCCCGAGCACTTGGGGTGCCGTGCTAAAGAAGAACGCATTATGAACCTTCGGACGTAGCCAAATTTCCCTCAATGAAAAAAGAATTTCTAGGTAAACTCATGAACATTCTTCCTCCCATTTCTCAGATAATTTAGTTCTTAATTTCCTCTGGAGCTCCTTAAAATTTCAAGGATAAAAGTTCATTACTTTTCTTTAAAATATACATTTTATCGGAAGAAATTTGGCAACTCTCAAATGTTCATACGACGTTTTTCCTCAGCAAGGCAGTGGGGTGCTTGGGCCTCCTAAATATCAAGACGGTTGCCTCATTTCCGTTGATTTATACCGTCGCTTGGCTGACGAAAGGGCGTAACCACAATTTGAGATGAGCCCGAGAAAGCACTGAGTTATATGGACAACAGGGCTCATCGTCAAGTGTAGTCACGACGATACGTCGTTTATTAGGCTATCAGAGTCACAAACTCCCAACTGAGGGTTTCTCGGTTGATCTCAATCCGTATCATCCGCGTGGATCAGAAACAATCCTCTTATTCGGCCGCGCGCTTGTTTTCACTTACCTTCCTTTCTTTTCTTTCAAAAATGAAAATGAAAAATAAAGCCCTGAACTTTTTTCATCAATTTTAAAATCTGAAATGTATGCAAAATCTTGGCTCTCTAGGAATTAAGGTTTTATCAATCATCTGAAATCTAATCTTGAATTTTAAGAAATTATAAGAATCACGCTCCAACTGCTAATCTGCACAGAAAAAAATGGATGGTGCTGACGACAGAACCTTTTGTTCATACGGCTCCCACAGTTTCTTTGTTACAATTACAGAACTTTTGGTCGTGGGAACAGAGTACTCTGTTCCCACGACAGAAGTTCTGTTCTCACAACAGAAAAGTTCTGTAAGTGTAACAAAGAAACTGTGGGAGCCGTATGAACAAAAGGTTCTGTCGTCAGCACCATCCATTTTTTTCTGTGTGCTTTGCGGTAATATCATTACTAATTTTCGATATTCTAACACCTTACTCTGCCGTGTTGGATATATTGAAATACGACGGAGACTAATACGTTACACTGAAAAAAAATATCGGTGTATTTACTAAGGAAAGGGTAAAATTACCGAGAATTCAGGGTTCTATTTGATCCCAGTTTTTTCTTGGTAAAATTACCATTCATGGAATTGGTAATTTTACCGAGAAATCTCCGTAAAATTATTGACTTTCTCGGTAACTTTACTGGACCCCGGTAAAAACGCCAATATTTTTTATCGACTGTGGTAGAATTACCGAGATAAAATGGCAAAGTTACCGTGAATTGATTACCAATGAAAGTGGTATTCTTACCTGAGAAAAACAGTAAAAATACCGGTTTTTAGGTAAGCTTACCAGTCTGTCATGGTAAAATTACCAATAATTGGTAAAAAAAGTGAGATGGTAAAGGTACCAACGGACCTTGGTAAAAACGCCGAGAATTTTTTTTCAGTGTATAAGGACCGCGGAAAAGTACGATATTTAAACAAATTAATGGGAAAACAAGACAAAAGAGTTATGCTGCGCGCTTCTAAGCTTCTACCTTGCGTGCCGACGTGGCAAATCTGTCTCTGCATTTTATAAACTTTATCCGCACTGAATTTTAAAAGGGTGGTGTTCTTCTTTTTGTAATTTTTTATGCAGATATTCTCACTTTTAGTTTCTCGTCGATACATCATACAAAAATTCTAAGATTCTAAAAACAAATTAATAGCTAAATATGTTCATTTAATCCTTTTTAGGGACAATCCTCGGCAGAAAATTGCGGTTTTTATTGAAAAGAGATCATGTTTATTAGTATTCTTGGCCCTCAAAAAAGTTTATGTTTGGGGTCCCCTGAATTGCTCCGCCAGAGTCCCTGAAGATTTTTAGTCAAACCGACCATGACAAACCTAACGTTTAGGTGTAAGGCTGTAAGGTCCAAAATATAAACCTTCATTGAAATTGATACGATTTTCTCAAGTTATT